CTCCCAGAGGCCCTTCGGGCCTCTACCAGAGGTCCCGCCCCCGGCTACAAGGTGAGCCGTAAAGTTCCCTCCTGTCGTGATGTGGCGCACAAGACGCATGCGCAGGCCCTGAAAAGGTGCTTGGGTGGCCCCGAGCTTTCCTTTTCCGGTTGCGGCGCCGCGCGGTGTGGAGCTTTGGTGTGCTTTAGCAACCATGCCGTCTAAGGGTCCGCTGCAGTCCGTGCAAGTCTTCGGTCGCAAGGTAGGCCAGGCGCTGGATCGGTGAGGTCCGGGGGCGCCAGGGTGTGGCGGAGGCCAATGGGCAGGGGTCTGGGCTCGCCCTGGCGGCCGGAGCCCAAAGCTCACATGGCCCCGCGATCTCCTTGCATTTTACAGAAGACGGCCACAGCCGTGGCACACTGCAAACGGGGCAATGGCCTCATCAAGGTGAACGGGCGTCCCCTGGAGATGATTGAGCCGCGCACGCTGCAATACAAGGTACTGGGATTCGAGATGGGCATGGAGTGGAGGGCTCCTGGGAGAGGGAATGCTACACCTTTTGGAAGCTGAGGGAGCCAGTATTGATAAATAGGTATTTAGAAGCTGTCTTGGGGTGGGGGGAGTACTTAATAATATAGCCGGGCCTGGATTTGGAAGATGTAAAAAGACAAGTTGGGAAAGTGAAAACGTGGGCCTTGAAGGTTAAGTGGATACTTTGAAAACTGAGATATTTGGGAGCTGACCCAACTGAAGGGACCAGGTAGCAAGGGGAATAGCGAGCTTGTGAGGCCTGACTTGTTTTCCTCTCAGGAATATGGGTTACCTGAGGACAAGGATTAATGTTCTGTTAAGTCTGAAGTTTCTGAAGTAGGGTCTGAACATTAGGTAGTAGGTGGTATTAGAAGGACAAGAGAATTGAGATCTTTTTGTTTTATTTTTTAATTTTTCCCCCAGTACTGGGCATCAAACTCAGGTCCTTGTGCTTTTGAGGCAGGCGCTGCACCACTGAGCTAAATCCCCGGCCCTGAGGTCTTTTGAAATGGTTGGCTGTGAAAGGGAGTCCTCTGCTCCCTGTTTGGACCTCTCTCTTTGACTGTGAATGAAAAGATTCTCATTGCAGTATAAGTTAGAATTCAACAAAAAAGTATTTGAGGTTCCTTCATATGGCAGACACTGAATATTGTGGTTGTTATTGGCTATCAGTTTATTCAAAGAATATGTGTGTACAGTCTTGTGTTCAGCTTTGGGGACATACCAGTAACCCAGATGACCCTAAGTCCTGCTCTCATGGAGCTCCCCAATTAGTGAAAAGATGGTCCTGTGTCCCAGATTTACAGGGATGTGAACTGGACCCAGTACCAGAAAACTAGTCCAAATGATCTCCGCTGGGACATGGAGCCCAGAGAAGGCTTGGGAATGAGGGGAGGGATAAAGGGGTGATCCTGTGAGCTGAGATCAAAGTTAGATAAAACAGAATTATCTAAACAGGCACTGGTGAAAGACATAGAGCTGGGAAGGGAAGAATAGGGCAGAGACTGCAGTGTGGTGACACCCTGACTCCCCATCCACTTGTTTATTGAGGCTGGTGGTAGCAATAGCCACACAAAGATAAAGAGGAATGCCTGGTAATGTAGTTAAGCTGCCCAGGTTGTGACTTAAAAACCCTGTTTATTCCTGTCTCCCTAGTTACTGGAGCCTGTTCTCCTTCTGGGGAAGGAGCGGTTTGCTGGTGTTGACATCCGTGTCCGTGTGAAGGGTGGTGGTCATGTGGCCCAGATTTACGGTGAGTCCCAGAACCTAGGTACATGGTTGTGAAATGGCCCTGGGATCAAGGCCCTGGTCTTGGGCCTTCACAAAGCTGATGTACCTTTTTATTGTGTATCTTCCTTGTAGCTATCCGTCAGTCCATCTCCAAAGCCCTGGTGGCCTATTATCAGAAATGTAAGTACAAGTGAGACCTTAGTAAGTGGGTAGGGCCCAAGTCAGGGATTGGGGTTATCTAAATCTTCACCATTTCTCATCTCCAGATGTGGATGAGGCTTCCAAGAAGGAGATCAAAGATATTCTCATCCAGTATGACCGGACCCTGCTGGTAGCTGACCCCCGTCGCTGTGAATCCAAAAAGTTTGGAGGCCCTGGTGCCCGTGCTCGTTACCAGAAATCCTACCGATAAACTCATCATAAGAACTGGCATTGGCCGGGGATTTAGCTCAGTGGTTCCACCGCCTGCCTCACAAGCTAAGGACCCGAGTTTGATCCCTGGTACCAAAAAAAAAAAAAAAGAATTGGCATTGACCTTTGTAATAAACATGGAATTTTAAGGTTGCAAGGACTGTGCTGTGGTCTCTGGTCGTAGGTCTCCGATTAGTTGGTATACAAGAAAGGCCTGTAGCCATTGCCAGTCTTGATTTTAGCCCTTCCAGAAGTGTAGACAGGTGGCAGTGGTAGGTACAAGGAGACCTAGTCTGTTTCCCTACCCCTCCTAGAGTGCAGGCACAGCCAAGGTTGCAGTGGTTGTGGACAGTTGGTGGCCATCAAGCTTGTAGAATGTGTGAATGTGTACACCCAAGCCCATGGTTTTTTTGTTGTTTTTTTTTTAACACCCCAGCCCATGTTAAACTTCAGTTAATTAGTTTGCGGTCATGGAGATTGAACTGTGTGCCTTCACACACTGAGCTACATTCTCAGCCCTTTTGCTTTTTTTTGTTTGTTTATTTTGGTGGTTCCAAGCCTTCACAGTGAGTTACACCCCTAGCCATGTTTTACTTTGAGACAGAATTTTGATAAATTGCCCTGCTGGGCTTGAATTTGTAATCTTCCTGTCTCGTCCTCTCAGAGTGCTGGGATTACAGGCGTGTACTACCATACCCTAGCTTTTTAATTTGGGGGGGCGGGTCTGAGTTGCCCTGGGTAGGCTTAAATTCGGCAGTCTGCCTCAGTCTCCGAAGTAGTTGGGGCTATAGGCAGGCAGGTGCCACCACACCCAGCTGTCCATTTTTTTAGTGCCTTGGCTGCTGTTTTCTTTTTCTAGATAGGGTCTCTGGCTTTGAACTCATGGTGACCCTGCCTCAGCCTCTCCAGTGTTGGGATCACAGGCGTGTGCCACCACAGCTGGCTTCCTTTGCTGCTGTTTTTGTTTGATGCTGGGAATCAAACCTAGAGCCTTGCACATGCTAAGAAACCACTCTCTCCCTCTTGTACTCTACCTGTGGGCAACATCCCTAGCCCAGTGCCAACTGGTTTGGTTTTTTTTTTGGTACTGGGGATTGAACTCTGGGCCTTGTGCTTGCGAAGCAAGCCACTGAGCTAAATCCCCGTCCCATGTTGGTTTTCTTTTGGGTTTTTTTAAGGAACTGTCTCACTATGTTGCCCAGGCCAACCTTAAACTGAGCTCTAGTGATCCTGCCTCACCCTCACTAGTTCTGGGTCTGTAGCATGTACCACCACATCCAGCCCCACTGCTATGTTCATGGCAGGAAGAACAGGAAGTGTATAATGTCAACAGCAATGTTTAATACAAAGAAACCAAGGACAGACTGTCTGAGTAGGATCTGTGAAGTCAGCAGCTGAGAGCTTGAGGCCCGTGCCTGATTTCAAGGTTTGTTTTTTTTTCTCAGGTATTTGGGATTGAACTCAGGATCCTGGGCTTGCCAGGCAGACTTTGCACTACTGAGTTATATCCCCAGCCCTTTAAATTTTTTTTTCTGTACCGGGGATCAAACTCAGTCCTTGTGCTTGTGAGACAGATGGTGGAACCACTGAGCTAAATCCCAGCCCCTTGTTTTAAGTTTTGAAACGGTCTTGCTATACGGTCCAGACTGGTCTTGAATTCACTGAAGCCCAGGCTGGTCTCTAGGATCCTCCTGCCTCAGCCATTGTGTTTATAGGATTATAGACATATACTACTATGGCTGGCCAGTTTTGTATTTATTTAATGGTACCGGGGATTTTATCTAGAGTCTTCACACTTGAGCTACATCCCCAGCCCTTCTTTTTTTTAATTTTTCTGTTTTTTTGAGATGGCCTAGCTATGCAGTTCAGGGTGGCCTTGAACTCAAGGCGATCTTCCTGCCTCAGCCTCCCAAGTCCTGGGATTGCAGGTGTGCGCAACTATGCTTGGTTTTCTTGTTTCTGAAAGGGGGTCTTGATAAATTGCCTAGCACATGGGGAACACCTAGCAATATGTTGCTGTGGACTAAATCGCCTTTAGGTTTTTCCTCCTTTTGTAGAGGAAGAAAGAAAAACATACTGAAAAATGGAAGTAACATTGAGCTGGGTGGTCAGCTGAGGGTCTTGATACCATGTTAGGCAGCCACAGATAGTCCAAAAGGGCCTGTCTCTGCCCTACAGCCTTCAGTTTGGGGGCCACCTGCTCAGAGTAGTCCACTTTTGAGAAGTGCAGTGGATTGTGGGGCCCACAAAAAGGTACCTGACCCAGCCCCACGGGTTCAGTGGGCTCCCCGGGGAAGATGACATCTGAGCCAGGATCAGTCTGACCATTAGCTTCATTCTTCATTCTCTTTCCTTTTTTTTTCTTGTACAATTCTGGGGCTTGAGCCCTAGGACTTTTACACAAAGGTACATCCCTCTTTATTTACTTATTTATTTTTTGAGACAAGGTCTATGTAGTTCAAGTGGCCTTGAACTCAGCTATCCTGCCTCAGCCCCCTGAGTGCTGGGACTGCCGATGTGCACCACCACACCAGGCCATCCTTTAAGACAGTCCCATTAGGTGACTGTGTCACCCAAGCTGGGCTCAAACTTGTGATCTGTCTAGGGGCCGGGGATTTAGCTCAGTGGTTCCGACGCCTGCCTTGAAAGCACAAGGTCCCTAGTTGTATCCCGGTACCAAAAAAAACCTGTGATCCTCCTGCCTCAGCCTCCCAGAGTGCTGGAATTATAGGTGTGTGCCACCACTCCCCACTCCCAACTACCTTTTCTGATGCTTCTCTTTGGTTTCCCATGCCCCTTGAACACCTCTGCTGTGCCATGTGGGGACACTGCAGTAGCCATACCAACTGCTGGTCTCCCAAGAAGTCCCAAACTGGTGTTGCTAGAGGAGGAGGAGTGGGGTGGAAGTGATCTCATAGGCAGGGAGCCAGAGGAAGTCTGAGCTTGCTGCGCTGTTGGGATGGTGGAAATCTTCCAGAGTCAGCTTTACAGGCTGCTGGAGGGACTGCTTGAACCTCAACTGAGGGGAAAGTCTCCCAGCTTGACATTCAGTGTCCAGTGGCCCTGTTTGTACATATCTGCCCTTCCCAAGACAGGAGCCTGGAGTGGCCACCAAGCTGGGCTGTCAGAACAGTGTCATCAAGGAAAGCTGGGTGGGACAGCACTAACCAAGTACACAGAAGGGAGTGAGGCTCACTGAGCACCAGTGAGGGGCCAGCCTAAGCCTCTCAGGACAGCTCTTCCTGATGGCCCTGAGATTGGTGACATAGTCTCCTGTTACTGGATGAGAAAACTGTCCTGGTGGCCAAAAAGTGTTCTGAAGCTCAGCAGGTTTTGCACTGGAGTTGGAGTTGACTTGTGTTAACTAGGTAAGGAGGGCAGTGGGTGCCACTCTTGCCCCACCCTGTTTTGAAATGAGGTCTCACTGTGTTGCTCAGGTTGCCACACTTGCCTCTTAATTCCCGGGTTCAAGTGACCCTCCTGCCTCAGCATCCTGAGGGCTGGGACTACAGCCACACACCACTGCAGCTACCTTCAGCTTTCAGTTCTAGCTATAGCTCTAAAGAAGCCCCCTCAGCAGGCAGGTGATGTTTGGCCAGCAGGGGCAATGCTGGAGGGAATGGGAACTGGGGCCAGTGAAGCAGAGGTAGAAGTTGGGCAGGAGGGAGGGATGGAATTCAGACGCCCAGAGGGATTGAGACAGGTAGGCCTGGAGCCCGTGGTTTTCCTACAGGGTTCAGAGGTCCCTTTATTGAGGCTCCCGGCTCCTTCCCAGGACAGCTGGAACACATCTGGAGAGGGAGCCCGCCTCTCCTTAGCTGCTCCTGGCTTGGAGTAGACAGCCCCTTTTCCCTCCCTGCCTCCTCAAATGCCGGGAATTCCAGCGCCACTGGGAGCCCAGGCCAGGCTGGGAACTATTCTTCAGTGGGGAATGTGAAGCCTGGGTGGAGGAGGGGAGGGCCAGGCTCAGTCCTGACCCTGGGAGGCCACCGTGGAGTCCTTGATCACGGTAGGCTGAGGTGGCCACCTCAGCTACTGTGGGCCCCAGGACTCAGCCCAGGCCCTGGCACACAGCAGTCATTCAATAAACAACATGTAGAAGCCACCAGCTAACATTTATTGAGCCAGGCCTTGCTGGCTGCCTAACTCAGCCGAGTGCCAGGATCCCATGGGCCCCAGGAAGCAACAGGCTACAAGCTCAGGGGGCCAAGGAAATGGGCCTTGGGCACCTAGTATTGGACAGGCACTCAAATCTGAGAGCACAGACTTGAGCAAGGCTGCAAGGCTTGGTCCATCTTCGCCCTTTCTTAGCTGTGGGACTAGGCAGGTCCCTTTCTCCCTGCCTCCCTTTCTTTATCCCTACACCTGTTACAAAAGCCATCTTCACAGGGGGCTGGGGGGTGTAGCTCAGTGAGAGCACTTGTCTAGCATAGAGGGTCTGCATTTGATTTCCAGTACCGACCCAAAACAAAACAAAACCAATGAAAACACACCCTCACTTGCCCTTCAGGGATACTGTGAAGACCCAAAGTGGATAGGCGCACAGAAAATTGACTGGAATGCTCATGGTATGCAGCTAGTACTGTCAGCTTTTTGCCATTAGCCAGATGCTAACAGATTCCCAGGCTCTGCTCTGGAGGTTCTGATTCAATAGGCTGAGGCTAGGTCCTGGGGTCCCTGTGATTTGGATGGAGCCCTTGCTGAGCCAGAGACTTGGGCACCTCTGGGGAGTGAGGGTACACTCCCTGGATGCCGGAGCCATTCCTAGGGAACAGGCACTGTCATTTTGTACATAACAGGCTCAGAGAGGAAGGTCACACACCGAGAAAAGATGGAGCTTGAATTCACCATGACACAGTGCTGCCTCATTAAGTGTTTGATAGAAGCAGCTGATATTATTAAACTGCCTAAATTATCCTCAGTTCTGAGCCCACCAATGCAGGAAGGAGAGGGCAGGAGGATCCTACCATAAAAGCCTTTTGTCTATGACTGGAGTTATTTTGTGGGAGGAACCATGTTGAGGAATTGTTGCAGTCCCAAAGGAGGGGGTGAAGGATGTGGTGTGTGGGGGTGGGCACAAGAATTGGGATATTCATGTGGATGGGGAGGGGCTGCCAAGGGAAACCAGAGCCCTAAACCTGATCCACCCTAATGTTAGCATGGAACTGTCTTCCCCAGAACCCCAATGAGGAGGGATGGGTGGGCTAATGGATCTGGAAACGGGTGAATGAGGTGTATGAGTGACTGACAGAGGGACAGAGACAAATGGAGTGGGGGTGCCAGATGGAGATGGACAGGTAGAATGTTAGATGTTTGGGCTGATGGAGGAATGGAATGTTACATGGGGGAAGGATGGAAGAATGAAAGGGTAGAGATAGTTGGATAAGCAAAAGATAGTAGTTTGGAAGATGGAGAGTTACACACCAGAGGGGAGGACAGATGGAGCAACAGCTGAGCATGTGACATGAATAGATGATTATAGGACATAAGCTGGATACTCCTTAAGTTGCTAAGAAAATGAACTCCGAGAAGTCTATTGGGAGTAAGCCCCTGCCCCTTTTCATTTTTTGAGATAGGGTTTTGCTATGTAGCCCAGGCTGTCCTTGAACTCACAAGGACCCTCCTGCCTCAGCCTCCTGAGTGCTGGGACTACAGGGCCTTTCAGTACTGGGTATGAAACCAGCACCTTGCACCTGTTGCTAAGTGCTCTTCCACTGAGCCACATCCCCAGCTGGGAGACAGACTTAACCTGGATTTCCTGATAATGAGCGCCTTGCACATCAAACTGTAGTAGGTCTAGTTTCTAGTAATTCTCAAACACTTGAGATCCTTCCAATTCTCAGAACCAGTGATCGTGTGGTCAACACATCCTATCACCCCCTCCACAAACATCAGAAGGGGAAAACACAGAATCCTGTATTACTTAATAAAATATTAATGATGCCCCCCCTTCCCCATCCCTGTTGGATCAAATCAAGAAGGGCCATTTGTGCAAACAGGTCTGAGGAGCAAGAAGGCTGCAGCCACCTCTAGACCTGTGTCGGGACTTCTGGGTGAAATTCTGGGAGTGTGCGGCACTGGTTGAAGTCATTGCTTTTTGGGAAGCCTGATGTCCTGAATCACTACAGAAAGGGGGCATCAGGAGCCTCCTGGGCCCTGCGGAGGCCCACAGGCTCCTGGGTGGGGGGCCAAGAGAGCAGGGTGGTTCAACCTGACCTGGGCCTTGGCTGGCCGCAGCCGCCCCCCACCTCCCACTTGGATGCTGACCGTGGTGGCGTAGCTGAGCCGCCTGGCTGGGGGTGGTGGGGGCTGGGGCTGGAGCGGGGGTGAAGGTGCCCGGGACGTGGGAGCAGAGGACCAGGGGGCCCGGGAGGCCAGGGGGGCTTCTCCCCCAGCCCCATGCCTTCGAGCCAGGCTCTGGCTGATGTAGGAGGCTGCCAGGTATCTTGAGAGGGCAGCTGCAGTGGGGCCCAGGAGCTGATGGGTGGGGGGCAGGGGACTGTGGGGTGGGGTCAAGTCTGTAGACTCTGACCTAGCAACAAGAGAGGCTGAGGGGCCTCCTGCTTTGGATAAAATCCCAGTGGTCTGAACTGGCATGGGTACCAGGCTTTGAATGTCCTGAGGGCTGCCTTGCTCAGGTAAAGTGGCAGCTGCAAGGCAGATGTTTGGGAATTCTTGCTGCCCCAACACAGGTGTGACTCTGGGGGCCTGTGTGTCTGTAAGGCCATGCTCCTGAGGCAGTAGTGTGGCAGTGGGGCCCTGGATGGCTGAGGGGTCTCCTTGTTTGGGCAAAGAGGGGAGGGCTTGGACTTGGATGTCCATGAGGCCTTGCGGCTGGGGCAAAGGAGTGGCAGCTGGAACTTGAATGTCCAAGAGGTCTTGAGACAAAGACAGAGGTGAGCCCGCTGGAACCTGACAGTCCAGGTACCCTCTACATGCAGGCAGAGGCGAGGCGCCTGCAACAGAAATGTCTGGGGAGTCACGTGACAAGGGCAGAGGGATGCCAGCTGGGATCTGATGGTCCAAGCTGCTTCCTCGACTCAGCATAGGGTTGAAGCCTCGGCCAGAGACAGTGGCAGGGCACTGGTCATCCCTCGAACCTACTTCCTCAGCCCCTGGGATGTTGCTTGGGCTCTGGCTGTCTAGATAGCCTTCTTGCTTGGGTAAAGGGGTGGCGGCTAAAACCATGAGCTCAGAACAACCTCTCTGCTTGGGCATTGCTGGAGTGGTTGAAATCTGGATGTCCACGTGGCGCCCTTGGTCAGAAGAGCAGGTGATAGATGGAAGCTGTATATCCATGTCACATCTATGCTCAGGCATGGGAGTGGCGGATGGAATCTGGATTTCCAGGTGGCTTTGATCAGGCAAAGTTGAAACAGATGACAGCTGGGTGTCTGGAGGGGCTTCTTGCTTGAGTGACGTGGCTGGGGCCGGGGCATTCTGGAGGACTCCTTGCTCAGGCAAGGCAGGAGCCCAAATGCGAATATCCAGCTGGTCTTGCTCAGGCAAATCTGAAACATTTAGACTCTGGCCATCCAGGTGTCCTCTCTGCTTAGTTAAGGGTATGGCAGCTTGAATCCGGGCAGCAGGGCCCAGGGGGACAGACTGTTGGGCACAGGTCAGCGGGAAGGCCAGCTCACACACCAGCACGTGTCCAAAGGCAGGAAGGGGCCCTGTGCGCAGAGAAAAGAGGATCGAGTGAGTGCCAAAGCCCTAGCCTCGGCCGCCTCTGCCCACCATGTACCCAGAGCTCACCAGGCTCAGCCTGCTCCTGGGGTGGGCAGGGGGTCGGCTGGGGCTGGGCCAGGACCCGTGGCCTGCGGCGGGGGGCATTGGCTGATGCCCGTGTCTCAGCCCGCTGCATCTGCTGGATCCGCTCACTGTAGAGCCGGGTCAGTTCTCGCACGCGAGACGCTGCCCGCTCTGAGTGTGGGGCTCCTGCCTTCCCACTCCCACTGTTTCCACCCAGATCCGAGTCCTCCAGGATGAGCAGTGGTTCTGGGAAGCCTGGCCGGGCCAGCTGCCCCTGCTCCAATGACTGCCAGGCACTCCGGATTTCTGAGCAAGAGTGGAATTCCAGCTCACTGGGGAATCCCTGAGCTTGGGTGATATCCTGGGGCTGGAAATCTGAGAATATCCCTTCTTCCTCCTCAGCCTGCCCAACCCTGCTTCCTGAAGTGGGCTCTCCCAGTTTTCCAGCATTGCTTCCAGGGAACAGTTCCCTCCTGGTGGGTAGTGCCTCAGCTGGCTCCTGCAGAGGTCCGGGGAGCCAGGGGTCACAGGGAAGGGAGGGAGAATCAGAAAGACAGGGAATATTGGGCACATCAGGCATGGCTGGAAGGTAGGGCATTTCAAAAACACCAGGAATGTCAGAGAGACTGGGAAGGTGGGGAACTTCAGAAATTTCAGGGAGGTTTGGTACGTCAGGAATCTTGGTGAGGTTGGGAATGTCGGGAATTTCGGCTGCACTGGAACTGTCAAGCCCTTCTAAGACATGGAGTGGGGAAGGCTCCCGTTCATCCATCTCCAGCTCTTCCTCCTCCTCTTCTTCTGAAGAGTCTCGGCTGGGCAGGGCTTGGAATGTGAGGGTTTCGCTGTCAGCTGGCACCTGGGAGTCTCCAGGGAACTTGGGAATATCATTGGTGACTGGCTGTAGTGGGCAGAGAAAGATGCCAAAGATACCAGGGTGGGGTGGCCAACCTGCTCCCTGCTCTCTGCCTGCTGGAGCCCGGTGGTGCCCCAAGAATGCTGTGACTCGATGCCCAACTCACCCCTGGGTCCCGAAGGCCTCTCTGGTTTAGTAGTTCCAGGATTTCTTCAGTGATTGAAGTTCCAGAGGGGTCCAGCGTTGGGGGGCCAGCATCCTCCAGGTCTTCAGGGGGTGCAGGAGTTGACACTGGTGGCTGTGATTCCGAGGGGGCATAGAGCTCCCCTTCACTGCCAGCATGCTGTGTGGAGGAGAGGGGAGGGGATGAAAGCAAGAAGCAGGAGGGCCTGTCCCCCACTTTCCTTACCAGATGAGGGTATCTGAGCCTCAATCCCCTCCACTTTTTTTTTTTTTTTTTTTTTGCAGCAGTACTGGGGATTGAACTTGGTCCCTTACATGCTAAGCAAGTGCTCTACTCCACTAAGTTACACCTCTAGCTGTTTGTGTTTTTGAGTATTGGGGATGGAACCAAGGACCTTCACACAGCTCTATCCCCAGCCCATTTTTCATTTTGAGACAGGGTCTTACTAAGTCACTCAGTTGCCTTGGTGGGGCTTAAAACTGAGCTCTTCCTGCCTCAGCCTCCTAAGTAGCTGGGATTACAGGAGTGTGCCACCATACCCAGCCCAATCCTCTTTCTTATTCAAACCTAGAATTTGGAAATTTAAATTTCCTTCTCCATCAGACCCAAGAGTCCAGTTTCTCAGACCCTGCTTGGGCCATTTCTTACCTTGAATATAGGCTTAGCTGGGGACAGACAAGGAGAGAAAAGTCAGTGAGATACAGGTGTATGAATGACTGCTTATAACTCACAAGCTGCCTCATTCCCTCCCCATCCACCCTGGGTACCCCCTGGGTACAGAGAGACAGACAGGAGCCAGCCACTGACCATTGTGTGGAAACCTGACAAAAGAGTCCTTCACCGGTTCTGGGGAGGACAGAGTTACATCAGCAGCCCACCTCCACCCGAGGGCCAGGCTCACCTTTGGGCGGTAAACTTACCAGACTGCCTGCGCCCACGGCGGCTGCCAGAGGCTCCCGGAGATGGTGCTGCGGGAGAGGCGGGTGACAAGGGATCAGGAGCCCAGCTCCAGTGCTGGGGGAGAAGGGGGCCATACTCAGCACCCCATCTCATTTACCTGTGTTCCTCCAGCCAGGGGTGAAACTTTTAGTATCTTGAGGTTGGGGAGACCCAAGTGGGGATGTCGGGGGCTCTGAGATAGGCTTACTTTTCGGAGCACCTATGGAGAGAGTTTTGGTGCTAACAGCCTACTTTTCCCTGGAAGTAATTCTTCTTCTGCATCCTCCCAGCCCAAGTCCAACTCACAGTGCAGGCTGTTTTCAAGGAGGACTTGTTTTGCCTGAAACAGACAAGGATGAGGTTTAGGGGGGGCTGGCCCCCAGCACCACAGCCATCCCCAAGAACGGGCACTTTTACACGTCAGGCCCACGCTGTGGCTGACAACCACCAGCCCTCACCACTGCCCTAGGAGTCAGGCATTAGCATTTCTCCAGGTGAGGAAGTCGAGGCCCAAAGAAGTTAAGTTATTTGCCCAAGATCACAAAACAGAAAGAGTGGTAGAGCTCGGATTCATACTCAGGTAGCACAATTCTGCACTTTTAGCAATCATGTTTC